TAAAAGATAATAAATTTCCATGTCTCTTCTTCACTTTTTAATACTTACTTTGCAAAATCCCAAATCTTGACAAACTAGACAATTCTTTTTACCTACACATATTCCAACACATGAACATAGATGGAGAAAATCGTACAACCAAAAAGACTGGTTTCATTTAAAAATTGTCTCAAGCTTCCAACAGTCTCTTAGCACTGACAGTCCTACTCTCTTTTTCATACTACATTCTCATCCCTCCTGCTGCATGTACTTTCTTTCTACCCTTACCACCCAGCTGATAACCTACCCCAATGATTCTCAAAGTGTTGTCCCTAGACCAGCAGCATGTACCTCATCTGGGAACTTGCTAGACATGAAAATTTTCAAGTCTTCAGATCTACTGAGTCGGAAACTCTAGGGATGAGACCCAGCAATCTGTGTTTTAACAAGCCTTGCAAGGTAACTCTGATGTCTGCAAAAGTTTGAGAACTGCTGATCTAACCTACCATACTTCATTGAGAAGCCATGCTCTAGAATTTAAGCTCCAGAGGAGAGGTTATTTTTGTTTTGTTTTTAATGTTTATTTATTTTGAGAGAGAAAATGCATTAGTTGGGGAGAGGCAGAGTAGGAAGGAGAAAGAGAATCCCAAGCAGGTTCTGTGCTGTCAGACAGGCACAGAACCTGACATGGGGCTCGATCCCACAAACTGTGAGATCATGACCCGAACTGAAATCAAAAGTCAGACACTTAAACGACTGAGCCACCCAGGTACCCATTTTTTTAAAAAAAATATAATTGACATACAATATTAGTTTAAGGTAAACCACACAGTGATCCAACAATTATATACACTATGAAACACTATACAAAGCTACTACACTATTATTGACTGTATTCCCTATGCCGTACTTTTCCTCCCCATGACTTATTTATTTTATAACTGGAAGTCTGTCCCCCTTAATCCCCTTCATTTATTTTCCACACCTTCCTGTCCTCTGGCAACCACTAGTTTGTTCTCTGTATTAGTTTATTTCTGTTCTTTGTTCATTCATTTGATTTTTGGATTCCACATATAAGTGAAATCATATGGTCTTTTTTTCTGACTTATTTCACTTAGGTTCATTCATGTTATCTTGAAGGCAAGATTTCATTATTTTTTATAGCTAGTATTCAATTGTATATAAACTACATAATTCTTCATCCCTCTGTGGATGGACATTTAGGTTGTTCCCTTACCTTGGCTATTATAAATAGTGCTGCAATAAACATAGGAAGGCATATATCTTTTTGAATTAGTGTTTTTGTTTTCTTTGGGTAAATAACCAGAGGCGGAATTACTTAGTTGTATGGTATCTCTGTTTTAATTTTTTGAGGAACCTTAATGCTGTTTTTCATAGTGGCTACACCAACTTACATTCCCGCCAACAGTGTATGAGGGTTACAAAGGCAGGAGTTGTCTTTTTTGGTCATTTATATTCTGAGTGCCAGAATGGTTCCTGGAACACTGTAAGCCTCAATAAGGTACTGTTGAATCATACCTTTAGATGGGAATACTCTTATTTCCTACTAAGAAGTCTAGAAGCCTACCTGCATCTGTACCCATTTTCTTCCTTCCTTCTCCAACTGGTGAAATGTGCCTCATGCTGGCAAAGGTCAGCATTATCAGATATGAATTAGATCTCATCTCTTCTTGCCTTCTCAGGAACTTTGCTCCTTTGGTCATCCCCTGTGTCCTACATTATCTATCAGCCTTTCTCTACTAGATCATTTCCTTTAATATACAATCAGATTCTACACCATTCTAAAATAAGAACAGACTCCCTCTCCTCATATGCCCTTTCAGTTACTGTCCCATTTCTGTTTGCCTTCACTGCCACACTTCCTTGCCTTCCATTTCTAATCCTATTTTCACCTCCACTATTCAGTGGTTCTTAACAAAGTCAGTAATTTTTTAAACATCTTTATTGAGATATAATTCACATACCATAAAAGTTACCCATTTAAAGTGTACAACTCAATGGTTTCATACATTCAGAAGTGTTTAATCATCACTACAATCCAAGATTTAGAATATTTTCATCACTCCCAAGAGAAACTTCCCACCCATCAGCAGTTACTCCCTACGCACCTCACCCCTCTGCCCTAGGCTACCGCTACTGTACTCTGTTTCTATAGATTTGCCTATTCTGGACTTTTCCTTTGAATGGAATCATAGAGTGTGTGGTCTTTTGTGACTGGCTTCTATCACCCTAATGTTTCCAAGGTTTATCCACATTGTAGCATGTATGTATACTTTATTCCTTTTATGGCTGAATAATAATCCATTGTATGAATATACTGTCTTTTATTTATGCATAATCAGTTGATGGACAGTTGGTTGTTTATGCTCTTTGGCTATTATGAATAATGGTGCTATGAACATATACAAGTTTTTGCGTGGTTACTTCTCTTGGCTATATACCTGTAAGTGGAATTGCTGGGCTATATAATAATTAAGCATTTTAAGGAACTGCTAAAGCAGCTGTACTAGATACCAGAAATATTGTTGTAGCTTGTTTTAGAAAAACAATCTGCCATAGTCTGTTCTGGCCACACAATTCACATCCTTCACACATGAAAAATACACTTGCCCCCTCCCAAGAAAGTCTCCCAAAGTTCCATTTCTTAATGGCATCAGGCTCAGGCTTGAAGTTTAGAAACTCAGTGAGGTCAGGTGCAGATGAGATTCCTTGGGTACAATTTCTTGATGACAGCTCCTGGAGTATAGTTCCACTTGATATGAAAACATGGTGACTAAAGAAGCAAACTAGGGGCGCCTGGTTGCTCAGTCAGTTAAGTGTCTGACGTTGGCTCAGGTCATGATCTCACGGTTTGTGAGTTCAAGCCCTGCATAGGGTTCTGTGCTGATGGTGCAGAACCTACCTGGGATTCTCTCTCTCTCCCTGTTTCTGCCTGTCCCAGTTTCTCTC